AACTCCACTTCCATTTCATTAACACACATCTAACAACCTCTGTAAACCAAAAAGGCAATCTTGTCATTGTTGAATGTTGGCAAGCTTGTAGAAATCATCTGGTCTTGCGTTCCTGGGATCGTCCAACACATCCAAAATGAACTTCGAACGCAGGGGCTTAGGTTCTTCCTGTATCATATAAAAATATACAGGACCACAATAAATCTAGTACTATGTTATGTACTTTACACAGAATGGACCATGCAAAAAAAATAAATAAATTACCCAACTTACATTAAAGGTACTTGATAATTCACTGCCATTCCACAACTCCATGTACTTCATGATGAAGAATTTGCAAGCATGTCCAACATCCAATGTACCTCATGATGAAGAATCCGTAACTCCACAACTCCATGTAACTTATGTACCTTATGATAAAGAATCCGCAAGCATGTCTAACATTCAATGAATAAATTACACATATATTTAGTGGGTTATGTCTAACATCCAATGATAAAGAATCCACAAATTTTAAAATTTTTTGTCACATATTTCATTCAATAATTAAATTTAAATTTAAACTATACATACGCATCATTAATAAAGAAAAGAGAATATATAGAAGTGACTGTGAGGACAAGAAGAAGACGAAAGAAAAGAGACCAGATTTGTGATGAGTGATACACCACTGGTTTATTCTCTCTCTCTTCTTCTCCAAACTCATCCGGTAACTAGTTTATTCTCTCTCTCTCTTACTTTCTAATTGACATTAATATTTTTAGATTTGTGATGAGTGATACACCACTTCTTTTTTTCTTTTTTTTTAATTTTACTTATATTTATTATCATCATCATCTCAATGTGTATTTGTATTATAATTATTTTTTCAATAAATAAGATACACCACTTTTTGTGGACTGTTCAGCCTAAGGTGCAGGATTCTTCCATTTGGAAGCAAATTTTGGACACCAGAGAGTTTATTGAAGAAAATGCAGAATTTAGGGTTGGGAATAGGACCTCTTTTAACATGTTATATGATTCTTGGTGTGCAGGGTTGTCACTTGTTCAGAGATTTGGGATTGGTCTTTTTAAAAATTATGATAAGTTGGCTATGTTAAATACTATAATTGTGGATGGACAATGGTCCTTCCCTCCTTTCTTTCCAGTTGCTGCTGTAAATTTTATGGCCAATATAGTGGTGAAGTCTAGTAAAGATGATATTGTATGGACTCATGGCAGGTTTAGTTTGAAGAATGTTTAGAGAGTTTGTAGAGCTAGAGGGCAGACAATTATCTGGAAGGAGATTTGTTGGAAATTTTGCCGACCTAGAGTTGTTGTCTTGGTTGTTATTATTTTGCATAATAAGAACTTGTCCTATGTTAATTTACAAAGAAGAGGGTTTTCTGGGCGGCTATTTGTCACAATTGTTTTAAGGAGGAAGACTCAAATGACCATCTGTTTTGCAATTGTTCCTATGCTATAGAGGTATGGCAGCAAGTGCTAGATACGTTTCACATACCAGTTGTGAGGTTTCAAGGTACAAACCAGTCTGTGGAGTGGCTGCTACTACAGGTTCAGACTGACTGGCTTAAGTCCAAAATTCTAAAAGGGGTTTTTTGTGTGTTCATTTGGAAGATGTGGATGGAAAGAAATGTGTCTTTGCATGGTGGAATCAAGGAGCAGGCTTCATGTAACGACCCACTCCAGCACATGGTATGATATTGTTCGCTTTAGCCTGAGCCCACACGGTTTTGTTCTTGGGCTTTACCCCAAAAGGCTTTATACCAATTGGAGTGACACACCTACATATTATGAAATTCCTGAAATGTTGTACCTACATCACTCTTACTTCGAAGAAGAGATATCCAAGTCGTTCGAGTACATTCATCAATAAACGTAACAAAATAATGAGCATTAGAAAGTGAAGGAATTTTTTCAGGACCTAAACATCCAAGTGAATAACCGCAAAAGGTTCTGAGCTTTTATGCAAACTTGGTAAATAAGAATTACGATGGCTCTTTGCCAGTTCACAAATTTCATAATGAAAGTCTAAATCACTTAAACACGAAAACAAATGCGGTTGTAACTTCTTAAGATAACCAAAAGAATGATGCCCTAGCCTTCAGTGCCATAACCATACAATTACTCAAGCTTTATCTTCACTACCTGTTTGATTCGCTTGACTAAACTTTGACGCCCCCACCCCCTTTTCCATCAACTCCAAATAATAAAGTTTGCCCCGTCTAATACCATAACCAAGAATTTTTCGGGTTAGAATGTCCTAAAAAACACAAAAGGAATACCAAAAAGTTACAGTGCACTCAAGGGTAGAGGTAATTTCGGTAACAGAAACAAGGTTGTATTTAAGGGATGGAACAATACGAACAGTATCTAAAGTGAGAGAATCGGACAAAGTATCAAACCCTTCTCCAGTAATAGGAGAGGTACTACCATTAGCTGTGGAAATAATTGACTGAGAAGGAGTGTTAAGAGATTTTAACTAACCAGAGTCCCTCGTCATATGATCCGATGCACCTGTATCAATAATCCAAGCACTATTCTTAGAAGTCATAGAGAGTACAGAAGTTTTACCAAGTATACCTAAGTGAACAACATTTGCCATTAGTTACACCTGCTCATCTTCCGTAGAAGTCACCATGGCTTTTCCTCCAATATTCTTCCGAGGCTTCTTCATAAAATCCCACCAGTTAGGATAGCCAATAATCTCGATCGTAGCATCGTTGTTTCGAATGGCTCGAGCCACATTGAGTACATACTCGCCCTCCAGATTTTTTAGTTGCCTGATTACTCCAATTTTTCAAAGGGCCCGATAGTGGTCCTTGTTGAGTTTGGTTGGTTATCATCGCCAAGCTCTCAGAGATTGGATGAGATCCTCCCATCGTCTACTTCTGCTGATACTCTCTCCGGACATATGCATACGTATTCTCAAGGTCAAGCTTTAGATCTTTTTGTAAGATTTCTCCACGAACCTATTCAAACTCAGAGTCAAGTCCACTTAGAAAAATATGAACTCGAAGCCTCGCCATGGTTGAGTGCAATTGAACCACTCCTTCAACTGTTACTACCTGTGACATAGTCATGTGATCAATCTCCTAAAAAATAGCAACAAGTTCATTATAGTATGTTGGCAAAGGGCGACCATTCTGCTTGGTAGAAAAAGACCACTGATTCAATTCAAAAATACACGTTTCATCCGATCCGTTATAGAAGGTTTTAAACAAATATCTTCTTAGCCATGGGAAGACGAATAAATCACTACATCAATGATGTGCTCATTGAGTCAATGAGCCAACTCTTCACTTGATGATTTTCGGTTATCCATAACTATAATTTCGGATCTCCAGGTGCAGGTTTTGTCGCTTCTCCGGTGAGATACACAGCTTTGTTACAAGCACCAATCCGCATCTCCATGAGTTGAGGCCATAATGAGTAATTAGTCTCATCCAGTATAATTCCAGTTGGAAATGCATAATTGTCTTGGTGGACTATGATTTGCGGTGCTGAAGTCGGGGTTGGTACAGTAGTTGCACCTGAAGTAATTGCCATTTAAACTAACAATAGGAATAAAATTCGAAATACGATATTCGAAATACGGAATACGAAGAAGAAGAAAAAATTCTTAACTTGGCTCTGATGTCATGTTAAAAATATAAAAGAGAGAAACTGTGTATTGTATTGATATGATGATATGACATACACAGGGGTTTATATAGGTGACAAGATGTGTGGAGTGTAAGAAACCTAAACCCTATGTGGTCAACCTATATATGGTTAGAACATATTACACTAATAATATATTTTACAGTCAACTATCTTAATTATAACCATTAATTACCAAATCAATTTAGGAGAATTTACATAAATACATTAGAAAATACAGCTTATGCTGACAAAAACATTACACATCTAACCAGCCGTTTGATTAGTCAATTCCTTGTTTCTGGAGATTCCAGGTAACTCAAAAACGTAAAGATGGTTGTAGAAGGTTTACATATAGTGATGAAATTCGAAAAATTGAGAATAAAAAACAAAACTGTTAGATGAATTTTGAAGAATCCAAGAAACCAAGATAAAAAGGAATGTTTACATAGGGCCGCGAACTAACAGTTTATGAGTGGCATATTGTGTTTTCTTATTGGGTTTGATTAAGAGCTCAAGTGGATTTCAGCCTATTCTTCCAATTTCTCTCTCTAAAGCCTCTCTCAGTCTCTAAGAAAATTAAACCCATGTTGATGTAACAACTTTCTTTCTCTATAATTCAAGCAAACCAAGTATTTATTTATAGATTTCGTCCTCTCGTTTCCGTAGGGGTTTTCTTTCTCTCTTTCCTATGAGTGTTCTTTTTCCTCTTTTATGTCAGTTGAGGCTTTTTCTTTTTTTTTCTTTTCTCTAATTGTTCTCTTTTCTTTGTCTCCTTGTTCTTTCTCTATTTATAGATCACTAACTACTCCATCAGCTGGGAGGATTTACTCTCACCGAAGATGAAGACATCACCATTACTATTATTGCCGAAGACCTTATAGAAGGCATTAAATAGTGCAAACACAGCCTTATAGGAAAATTGCTGAAAGAGACCGGTGTTAATATGGGGGGTCTACGAGATACCCTTGGAAAATTATGGGTCTGTTTATCTCTTAAAGTCCTGAAACTCTAAGAAAATATCTACCAATTCTTATTTCAAGAGGAGACAGTCTGACAACGGGTTCTTCTTACCAGGCCATGGTATTTCGAAAATCGCCTTCTCATCCTAATTTCCTAGCGCCCAAATTTAGTCATTTCAAATGATCTTTTCAAAACAGTGGACTTTTGGGTCCATCCATCCAACCTCTTTTTGGAAGGCATAAATGAATGTGTTAGTAGAAAGATTGTGGCCTCTTTCCTCCAGACCCATGAAGTAGAAATCAGAGAGAATGTGAAAGGTGGCGGACGATTCTTACGACTCCGGGTCACGGTGGACATCACATGACCTTTGCGACGAGGTCTCCGGATGATATTTAATGGCGAACCCAGGTGGATTTCGTTCCAATACAAACGGTTGTCCATTTTTTGCTATCTATGTGGTTGCTTGGGGCCTACAGTGAAATAATGCAAGCTGCCAGTAACCCATCACCTCCCCTTTGGCCCATATCTTAGGTATGACTGTCCTTCTGGTATACAGATACCTCTGGAAGTTCCTCAATCCTCTCCTTCTCAGCCTCTGATTTTTGAGTTGAGTTGCCCGGCCATCAGTGACTCCAAAAGCACCGGTGAACAATCTTTATCTTGTCATGACGTCGACCATGACGAAGGTTTTACTTTGCTTTTTGTCTTTCAACTGACTACGTTAGTCTTTCCAGTCACATCAACCGTCCACTTACCACCACAAGATCTTGCACCTGGATACGCTTCCTCGAGTAGTGTTTCAACTTCTCACTTAACGGTTCCTGATAGCGGGCAATGGGCTACTGTTGAGGCCCAATATCCAATTGTACCTCAGTGGGCGTCTCAGCTTTTTCCCCTAACTCAATGGGCCGAGGGCCTTGTCCAAGCCCAACTTAATCTAATGGATTTTGTTGGCTTATTTCACCCCATGAGATCTATTATCCTCCAAAGTTTTGACCTAGGTGTATGTGCTTCCCCACCCTAGTCTATTTTCGAGGCCAAAGCCTATGACAGTTTGGTGAATTCTCCTCTTGACATTCTTGTTGAGCCGCAAATTTCTATACCATCCTCTACCTCGATGCCCTCGCAATAGTTGAGTCATCTCTTTTCTTCAAAAGGGTTTTCAGTCCAAAGTTACTGGAAGCGAAAGGCTCATCCTGCCTCTACTTTGTCAAAACCTATTTCTGGTTTCTCGCATGCTAAATGCAAACTTGACAGTGTATACACGACTTCAACTCCTGATTTTTTCGTTGGAAAAAATCTTTCTCTGCTTTGGAGGAGGTTACTTCTGATGATGTGGGCGTGCATTTGTTAGATGAGTCTATTGGTGTTCGGGTGGAGGCGACTAGCCCCAATTGGTCCCAAAGGTCTCCATGAAGATTATGGTGTGGAATTGTAAGGGTGTGGGGAAACCCCTAACAATTTCCCAGTTGAGGAGGTTTATTCACCTCCATTCTCCACATATTTTTTGTCTTTTGGAAACTAAGAATCAAAATGAAAAAATCGACCATATCCGCCATTTGTTGGGTAACTATGAAGTGTTTATTATTTCTCCGCGTCGTACAGCGGGAAGCCTTGCCCTTTTCTATGTTGGAGACCTGAATATTACAGTGGCTGATTTTATCGATTTTCAAGTATAGTGTGTGATCGATGCTGGTCCTTCTGCTGGGTCTTAGGCTTTCACGGCAGTTTATGCTTCTTGTGATGATCGAATAAGAGCTAGTCAATGGCGGTACCTTCAAAACATTCAATCTCGCCTTTGTTCCTGGTGGTTGCTAATTGGGGACTTTAACGCTATGCTTCACCCGCATGAAAAGAGGGGAGGTTCTTTTTCACAGGCAGGCATGGACCCTTAAAGATTTTTGGCAATTTTTGACCAATTTTAATCTCTCGGATATAGGTTTCAAAGGCTTTCCCTATACTTGGTGTAATAATAGGAATCCACCTCATACTATTTAGACTCGCATCGATCGAGGTTTGTGCTCTCAAGACTGGCTGCGAGCTTACCCTCATTATTCTTTGATGCATCTCCAAGTTTCTGGATCTGATCATGCGGCCTTGCTTCTGATTCAAATACAAAAGCTCCCAGAGGATCACGTTAGTTCAAGTTTGATGCTCGTTGGTTGAAGTACCCAGACTGCTCTACTATTATTACAGACTCATGGGATTTACCAGTCCAAGGATCCACGTTATTTCGTCTCAAAGAAAAAATCAAGCACTGTAAGGCAAACCTTAAGTCTTGGAACCATGGGTGTAAGCTAAACTCTCAGAAAACAATTCACAATTTACAGGATCAGCTAGCTACTCTGAAATCTAATTACAGTTAGTATAATCGGTCCACCATCTTTTAGCTCAAAAAGGAGTTGGCTAAAGCTTGGGGCAATGAGGAAATATTTTGGAAGCAGAAGTCGAGACTCTCTTGGTTAAATCTTGGGGATAAAAACACAGCATTCTTCCATCGAAAAACGATGATCAGACGTCGGAAGAATGAGATTTCTGGTATTGAAGATGATCAAGGTATTTGGCATGATGTTGCTAATGTTATGCGGGGCACTGCAGAACAGTACTTTCGAAGCTTGTTCACGTCTGAATCCTTGAACCCAATTTCAGATTTTTGGAGTCTTGTCCCGAACCTCATTTCGGATGAGATGAATGGTGATTTGCTTCGGCGTGGGACTGAAGCAGAATTAAAATTACCATTATCTACTATGGGTCCTTTTAAGGATCCAAGGCCAGACGGCTTCACTCCTTTATTCTTCCAAAATAATTGGGCGGTTGTAAAGGACGACCTTCTGAATGGTTTTAATTCCTTTCTTGATTCTGGGCACATGCTTTGGAGCATTAATCATAACAATCTTGTGCTTATTCCGAAAGTAAAGCATCCAACGAGAATGTCTCACTTCCGGCCAATCAGCCTTTGTAATGTCATCTACAGAATCTTCTCAAAAATCCTGGCAAATCGTCTTCGGCCGCTCATGAATATCCTTGTGTCTAACCACCAGCCAGCTTTTGTGCCCAACCAACTCATTCATGAAAATATTCTTCTTGTGCATGAGTTCATGCATTACCTTAAATCTAAGTCAAGTGGCAAACGAGGTTTCCTCGCTTTCAAGCTCGATATGGAAAAAGCATATAATCAGATCGAATGGAGCTTCCTTGAAGGTATGCGAAAAGGTTTCAGTTTCCACTCCAAATGGGTTTCAGTGATTATGTCCTGTGTTACTTCTGTTTCTTTCTCTATTACTATTAATGCGGTTTCTGGTAGCTGTTTTCAACCTTCCCGGGATCTCCGACAAGGAGATCCCTTGTCTCCATTTCTTTTTCTTTTATGCGTAGAAGGTTTGAGCTTCTTATTGAAACAAGCTGAATGCAATCACTCTATCCATGGAGTTAAAATTGGTCCGTCGGTCCCATCAGTTAGCCACATGCTCTTTGCGGATGATTTTATCCTTTTTTGTCGAGCTGAAGACCCTGAAGTTTCAAATCTCATGGGCATTCTGGATCTATACTCTGCTCTTTCTGGACAGAGGGTGAATTTTTCAAAGTCAGGAGTCTTTTTCAGTAAAAATACTGACCCAAGTTTTTGCCTCTCCTTGAGCCGAATCCTGAGAATAGAACCTTCGAATTGGGTAAATAAATACTTAGGTCTCCCATCGCTTATACATCGGTCCAAAGCTGAGGCGTTCAAATTCTTGAAGGAGAGAATTGAAGCAAAGGTTCGAACGATGAAAGGTGATATGCTCTCTAGGGCTGGCAGAAAAACAATGCTTAAATCCTTTATGGCTGCTCTACCTACCTACACTCTTCAATGTTATAAGATCCCTTCTTCTGTAGCAAAGGCAATCACTAGTAAATTCCGTGTGTTTTGGTGGTCAGGAAAAGCTGATGGGAATCCTATTAATTGGTTAATATGGAACTCTTTATGTGGGGGCTTGGGATTTAGAGACTTGGAAGATTTCAACTTGGCTCTTTTGTCTAAGTTTGGGTGTAGGATGGAGATGGGTTCAGACTTTAACGACCAGTCTTTGTTCTTTACAGTTTTCAAGCAAAAATATTTTCGTGATAAATCCTTCCTGGAGTCGCGATGCCCGGCTAATGCTTCTTGGGGTTGGCGTAGCATTTCAGCTTCTAAAAACCTTATTAAAAAAGGTATTTCATGGGTTGTGGGAGATGGCTCTTCAATCTGCATACGGGAAGACAATTGGTTGCTGGATCCCGGGAAGCCTTTTATTTCATCTCCATCGCTTAATCCCTCTTTTCAGATGGTCGAAGAGCTCATTGATCATAATACTCGATCTTGGAATAGTGCTTTGATCCATCAGCTCTTCAACTTCAGAGATTCAAATCTTATTCTTCAGATTCCTCTTGGCCTATCTAGTGGATCCTATTGCCGTGTTTGGTCTCCCTCTTCGGATGGAAAATTTTCTGTCAGGTCGGCTTATAGATTGGCCCGGTCGCTTCGCGAGTTAGATTGCTCTTGTATTCCATCATATAGTCACTCTCAAATGCGGTTATCCCTTTGGCAGTCCATTTGGAAGATTCAGGCCACACGAAAAATTCTTTGCTTCCTTTGGCAATGCTATCACGAGCGTATTCCAGACCTTACTAAGCTCCAGTCTAGACGCATTTCAGTGGATAACACTTGTTTCAAGTGTGGCCTGCATGATGAATCTATTGGACATTCAATTTTTTCCTGCCCCTTCTCACGAGTGGTTTGGAAAGCATTACCGTTAAGGGTCGAATTCTGCGATGCCGAAAATGGGTCTTGGCCTCAAATTTGGTCTTCTCTTTTATCCGTTTGGTCTCAAAGTCCTTTATTCAAAGATTTTTGCAGTTTGGGGGCGTCCATTTGCTGGAATATTTGGAAGGCGAGAAATGCCCTCCTTTTCAAAAAATCTGGCATTGAAGTTTTGGAGGTGGTAACTAAGGCCGTTTCAGATTTTCATGAATTTTCTGAGATCGTGGCTCAACACGCTTTGTTTGCTTTGCCTCGGGTGGAGGCTCCTCCTCCTCCCTCTCGCTGGTTTCCCCCAACTGTGGGTAGAGTAAAGCTGAATTTTGATGCGTCTTTCTCTGTTGGTTGCCAGGAATGTGGTGGTGGTATCATTCCTAGAGGGCCTCTATTTTTTTGTAGTTTGTTTGTTCGGCAGAGATGGCTGAGGCTCTAATCCTTCGTCGATGCCTCGCTCTTATCCGAGACTGGGGCTATTCTAATGTGGACGTGGAAGGAGACTGTTTGTCAATCATGACTTTATCTCCTCTTTCTTCAGCTCTTTCATCTATGATTGATTTTATCAAACTTCTGATGATTTCTTTTATGGGATGCAATCTAATTTGGTCCCCTCATTCATGTAATAACGTGGCGCATGCTATTAGTCGATTCTCCCTTCGACATCGCTCGACAGAGCTGTGTTGGGATGTTTGGCCGAAATGGCTGCTAGATGTTTGTTATAGGGATTTTTCACCTCTTCCTCCTTGAGGTGGTTGGTGTTTTTACGGTCCTGCTTTGTATCTCTTTGCCTTGTTAAAAAAAAAAAAAAAAAAAAAAAAAAAAGGTATTTATTTATAAGAAAACAAATTCAATAACATGAAGCCCTTGAAGAAGCAAGAACATTAAGGGCCAAATATAAACCTACTGAATTACGTTAGGATTAAAAATTAAAAATTAAAATTAAAAATACAAATCTGCACTATATTACAAAACTGGTGAGAGAAAAATTGAGAGGGAACGCGCGATTTTGTAAAAGAGAGGAGAGAAAACTTTGAATCTGATTTTAGTACTTGAGGTGAGAGAGAGAAAATTGACAGCCCAAAAATTATTAGATGGTCTTAGACCATTAAAATTTGGTGGAGTAATTCAATTCAGATTACTGGATTGAAAAAATGGCTCCACATAAGTGTATTATTATATTTTAAAAAATATGAATAATGGTCTCGATTGAATTGGTCTACTCAAGTGTCAAATGGTTCAAGCTTATCTATTAATTTCTTATCCCATAGGCTGATGTGGAAAGTATTATAGGAAAACCTTAACATGTCTACTTCATAAATAAAGTGGCGGGTAGTGGACTAATAAAAATTCCAACCAGCTAAAATTTATAATTTTTATGTTGTGAATTCATAAATGGGGTTTGCTTTGGATATCTTTCTGTTGGAGAAGATATTAGACGTGTCTCATGCGTTGGGTACATTACAACCATTCGTATTATACACATGTAAACTCATAAATGGGGTTTGCTTTCGATATCTTTCTGTTGGAGAAGATATTAGATGTGTTTCGTGCACTGGGTACATTACAACTGTTCGTATTGTACACATACAAACTCATGCATATTCGTTCGTGTTGTGCACATACTCACGTGCGCACAACATGAATAGTTATGATGTGCCGGTGCACCGAGCACAAGCACTGTCTCTCTCCTTGTAGTTGAGTTTTCATTAAGTGGCTTAAATCTAATACTAATAATGAATGCTAAAATTGATCAATATATTATTAAACATTATTTTCCTTTTGTCGCTTGCTGAATTCTATGATTAGAGGAGACAGAAGATTGAAGATTTCCATGCAGTGATGTCAAATGGTTGACATTTGTTTGAGACTAGCAATGACGAGCCAAGCTCTATCAATGTGCTTTAAATTTTTGGTCCCCAAATTTCATAATCAAGTACTCAAATTTCTACAGGTGATTTACTACGCTAAGCCTGGTCCTTCCACCGTGACCATATATATATATATATATATATATATATATATATATATATATATGGCCTTATAAGACTTTAATATGTTGAAAATGGTTGTAAATAATAAGCTCTGACTTTTTATTTTCAATAATTGCAAAAAAATATCAATGCAATTGTTTCTTATAATTTCTGAAAGTGAATGATTGGATTTAGATATCTGATATAGTTGTGATGCAAAAAAATGTAAAAGGCGAAAATGATCTTTGTTCCTCAATCCAAATTGGTTGAATTTATGCCCCCACTCGCCACTGGTCCTCTATATGGATAACAAGATGGCAAAGGAAATCCAATGTCGTGTGTGTGTGTTTGTGTGTGTGTGTATATATATATATATATATATATATATATATATATTATACTGCAATTATTGGTGGCTTTGAAACACTTAATATTTATATGTTCTGCATAATTGCACCCTAATCCACATTATTCAACTTCTTGGATGAATCATTTTATATCATTTTCAAAGTGATTTTTGAACACAAATCATGTTGTGAATTTGTTCTTAAACCTTTTTCTTACAGCAATTTTTTTTTTGACATCTGAACATTGTTGAAAATAATAAAATAAATATAATAAATTCCCCACCGCAACTTGAAAGTGGTTGGACACATAAAACAAGGGTTGAAATAAAAATCATTCTCAAAATGCAAAGATTTACATTTTGTTCTATTTTTTTTTTTTTTGGGTTAAAAGTTGGATAATCATTATGAGAAATAACATTAATTGTATTCAACGATAAGAAATAATCAAAATAGTAGAAAATTGAATGACAAAACGAACAAAATACGTTCTCTAAAGTTATGGAGAAGAGTGGTAAAAAAAAAAAAAAAACCCTTGAAATTTGTGTATACTTTTAACATAGAGTTCAGCTTCCATATCTACAATGTGAAAGATTACTTTTTAAAATGGTTATATTTTTTACTAGACATAAACATTCTAGTAAAGTTAATAATTTTTTTCAAAAAAATATATTTGTTAACAAAAATGTAGTCTGTTCAGGGTACATTTTGAGAGGTTGTATCCATGATTTACATATACGTACTTTTTCAAATTTAAACACAAACATATTTCAAAAGCTATATAATCATTTAAAATTAATTTTAATTTATATTTTATATATTTTTTTCATATTTTGTATGAAATGCGAACTGGTGTGCAGCATTATTGAATATGATTTTTAATACTTCTTTTTTTTTTTTTGACAGTTTTCATTGACAATTTATATATGGTACCATATTATGCCGCACTGAACTACTGTAATAGTTCATATGTGTAAGCAAACACAACCGTTCCTAAACATGAATAATTGGATATCGTTCGAAGTCTAATGGAGGTGATCTTGTTCATTAATCCAAGTTGGTTGAATTTACTTCTCATAGCTTCTCAATGTAATAAAACTAAATCATTTACCTAAGAAAAAAAAAGTTATCAAACAAAATACCCATATATCTATGTCCATATTCCTATATAGTGTGTGTGCTTATATATATATATATATATATATATATATATGCACACACACTATATAGGAATATGGACATAGAGAGAGAGGGAGAGGAGGTGCGGTGGGACTTGTGGCATCGTATCAATACTTTGTGGTTGATTGCTTTATATTTTCTTTTTTTCTTTTTTATTATAATTAAAAAAATTCAAGTCCAACTCGAGTTTGATATCTTGAATTCCAAGCAATGAAATCAAAACTTATGTTCTGAGGCATGAGCTCAAATCAAATCATCAATTGAATCTTGTTACTTGTGAAAGTAACCTTAGTTCAACTTATTCGTTTAAAAAATATATACTTGAACTCCAACTCCACCTTAAACCATTGATTAAGATAAATTATAAATTATAATATTCATAAATTCCAAATTTGAATTCATACCCTCATTTCGAGTTTTTTCTTCTTCCAAACCTCTCATATAACTTTTTGATAAATTATTAACTTGAGTTTGAAATAATGTTCGAGGCTCAATTTATTTAGTAACTAAATTTTCAGAAAAAAAAAAAAAAAAAAAAAAAAAAAAAAAAAAAAAAAAAAACTTATTAAATAACTAGACAGACATGAATAATTCATAAATCAAGTAATAAAACTGTAATTGTTATTCGATTGTATTGTAGATCAACAACAATATTAGTTTTTTAATGTTTTCAAAAGTGACTCAAAATGATTATAATACAAGCTTTTACTCATCAGGTATGAATATGAGACTTGAGAACAATGATAAGTATGTACTCTCGCATGCAGTTCAAGCTCGTTTATTATGAGGCTTAGGCCTCGTTTGGACACAGACCCATTGAAGCCCACAAAGGAATTGACACGTGGCACTATATCCAATATTCTCTCAGAGCCAACCACTCTATGGGGATTTAAATTTTCAACTTATAGCTCAACTACCACGGTACACGTGTTATATATATATATATATATGATATGATCTTCAGTTTTTCTTCCCCACACACAACCCATACTGTCTATCAGTCTCTCTCATAAATAAGCCCATAAAGAAAGCTTCTCTGGCTAACACAATATAGGTCTTGGTTGGTTTACTAAGCTCACGTAAAAACACACACACACAATGGCTTCTTGTTCTTCTTCTTCTTGGGGTTTATTGTTCTTGATTATGGCTGAGCTCGTCGGTTTCGTGTCTGGTCGAATCGGGTTGGGTTCAAGATTGTTAGCCCGTGATCATGAGGACCAAGCATGGGTTTCTGAAAATGGAACGTTTGCATTCGGGTTTACGCCTTATACGGATTCAAGAGATCAATTTTGGTTGGCAATTTGGTTTGCACAACTTCCTGGAGATAGAACTATAGTTTGGTCAGCTGACATGTAAGTTCATTAAACGTTACTATGTTTTCCTTTACAAACTTGAAAATTTAATTGGTTCATGTATTAAATAATTATATATGAGCATAATTCTATTTTCTTTTTTGAGTGGTTGGTTTTTTTTTTTTTTATGCATTGAGAATTCTTATTAGTGCACCATTTTTTTGGGTAAAGATTGTAATAACGGCAGTACAATGCATGAACATGATTGAATATTAATGATATATCACCACCTACTTTGGTTTTTTGTGATATACTTAGCTGGGCTTCATTTGTATAAAGATAATATTTAGCTGCTCAACCCTCATGTATTTCAATAACAATATACCATATCAGTTTTAATAACCAAATAATCCACGTTCTCTGTATTATCTCAGATTAACCATTGAATAACTTTTTTATTAAAGTTGATGTGGAATGTAGTTATTGAAACACATGAGGGGTGAGTAAGGTGAAGCTACTCACCGGTGAGTAGCTAAGCATTATCCTTTATATAATAGGGTTTTGAAATGAATAAGCATTATCCTTTATATAATAGGGTTTTGAAATGAATAAATTCTTGTATGATTATTTTAGTAGTATAACTTCAATTTAAATATAATATTCAACTTACAACTCTTTATTTTAAGTATATTTATTTATCCACTTACTTATCTTATCCAAAAAAAAAAAATTATTTGTTCAAATAGAACATGAAGTCTTGTAATTTGGTAAGTTACTCGTCTAAGCTCTATTGTCATTACATGGTGTATATATAGTGAAAAACCTTTAATTATTAAGTTTCTTTAATTTAAATTTATTATATTTACTTTGGCAAGAAATGGATGATACATTCACTTTGGCTTCATGGGATTTGAATCGCTCAAACGTTTTATTTTATAAGCCGAGAAAGTACAATTAAATTAACTTGCATGAAATATACATATATATATATATATATATATGGGATTTGAATCTCCCAACTTTTTACTTTATAAATTAAGAAAGTGCAATTAAATTAACTTTCATGAAAAAAAAAATAGTATATATTATTTCGAGGTAGAGTTTAGTACACTATCAAACATCATCTTTACCAAGACCTCTCGTACTCTCATATGAAAAAAAAAAAAAAAAAAAAAAAAAAAAAAAAAAAAGTTGAAATTCTGGTTGGAAGTTGGAGCAATACAAGATGTGTGTATCTTATGGTCTTACTATCTTACCCATAAAAAAAAATAATAACAATTCCACCGTCGCAACCATTTCACACACAGCCACTACACAAAAGTCAAACCATATATCTACACACTACACCTAATAAATGATGATTGTATGTCTTTTTTGCTTCTTTTTTTTTGGGATTATTTGATCGACCTTATTAGATATATATTTAAGAAGGTGAGTACCAGTATTGAATTTATTTTTTTTAATTTTTTTTTTATTGTTTACTATTAATGTAGTTGAAAATTTCTGTTTCAAGTTTAAATTACTTTTTTAAAAAATTTGCCTTAAACAGTGCAATTTATTGTACAGCATGACCCGCTTATAATTAACTGAGGGTCTTAATCCTTATTATTATTAATAATTTTTTCTTCCGTTAAATTAGGAACAATCGAATATCTTGTAACTTATCCTAATGATAATGCTTTCAAGTACTCTCAATTGAACTTTGAACCTGGCTAAAATAAATAAATTCAACTTGCAACCAAAAACTCAAATTTCTCTAGTGCTAATTTGTTATATATTAGAAAGTATATGAGAAAATCTATAGATAATTAGATGGTTACTGGTTTTTGACTTGAAAGAAAAGCACAAACCATTTCTCCATCTCTAGTCTTTACAAAAGCATTTGCAGGTATATGCATATACCTACCATCCCAAAGTCAAAATGACTTAGCCAACCATTTCATTTTCTCTCAATCATCTGAATAGAAACTCTCCGGTCACCAAAGATGCAATCCTGGAGCTCGACGCCACCGGAAACCTCCTCGTCGTCGATGGAGCCACCACTGCCTGGACCTCAAACACCTCCGGTGCAGACGTCGACACGGCCACCATGTCAGAAAACGGCAACTTCATACTCCACACCACCAACCAACGCATTGCATGGCAAAGCTTTTCACACCCATCTGACACACTCCTACCTGGCCAACCCTTAACGGTCTCACTGGAGCTGACATCAACAAAGTCACCATCACATGGTGGTTACTACACGCTAAAAATGTTACAACAGCCCACTTCACTAAGCCTTGCACTGTCCTACAACCTGCCGGAATCTGACGACAGCTCGCCGGAATCTTACACCAACTACTCGTACTGGTCCGGACCGGACATTTCCAACGTGACAGGCGAAGTGGTCGCGGTCCTGGATGAAGCAGGGAGCTTTGGGATAGTGTATGGCTCGTCCTCAGATGGTGCAGTGTATGTGTACAAAAATGATAATGACTATGTTGGACTACCATCAGCTGCAAACCAGTCTATGATCAAACCATCAGTTTTTCGACGATTAATTCTCGAGACAAATGGAAATCTACGGTTGTATAGATGGGACAATGATGTTAATGGTTCGCGCCAATGGGTGCCGGAATGGGCTGCAGTGTCGAACCCTTGTGACATTGCTGGTATTTGTGGGAATGGGATATGTAACTTGGACAGAAGCAAGACAAATGCTACTTGTACATGCCTGCCGGGGACTTTTGAGGCCGGGAACGATGCCCGGTGCTCAGGGAATTCATGGTTGGCCGGAAAATGTGACGCCCAACATCGGAATTCGACATCTCAGTTCAAGATTGCCACAGTGCAACTAACCAATTACTACTACACTGAATCATCAGTGATAGCAAATTACAGTGACATAACAAGTGTTTCGAAGTGTGGTGATGCGTGTTTGTCAGATTGTGAGTGTGTGGCCTCTGTTTATGGGCTTGATGATGAGAAGACTTATTGTTGGATTCTGAAGAGCTTGGAGTTTGGTGGATTCGAAGACACGGGCTCGACGTTGTTTGTGAAGGTTGAGTCCAATGTTTCATTGACACCAGAAGCGAACAACACAAGAAGGTCTGGGGATTCTTCGGACGGGTCAGGAAGTAGCCGAGAGAAAGTTTTGGTGCTTCCCATTGTTTTGAGCATGACTGTTCTTGTTGCGCTTCTGTGTTGCTTATTGTATATCAGTGTTCATAGAAGGAGATCATTAAAGAGGGCTCTTGAAAGCTCATTGATTGTGGCTGGCGCTCCAATGAATTTCAGTTTCCGCGATTTACAATGCAGGACTAATAATTTTTCCCACTTGCTTGGAACAGGTAAATGTATACTATATAGTGTATACTATGTTGATCTAGTCAAAAACAGAGCAGTTCAAAACAGAGGACATTGTTAGATTTTCAAGTAATGTTGGGTGTTTTGCAGGTGGATTTGGAAGTGTATACAAAGGAAGCTTAGGAGATGGGACTTTGGTGGCTGTGAAGAAGCTTGATAGGGTTTTGCCTCATGGGGAGAAGGAATTTATAACAGAAGTGAACACTATTGGCTCCATGCATCACATGAACTTGGTTCGTTTATGTGGGTACTGCTCGGAAGGGTCACAAAGGTATGCAATTTTTTTTATTTTTTTTATTTTTTTCCTCGAAAGTTTAAGCAAACGTACACTCACTCACAATATATATTGCCTATAACACGGCTTGAACACTCAACCTCCAAAGTTAAATGAGACTTATTTTGAGATATCAATATAACTAGAATTTAATCCCACTGATTTTGTAATTCTTTCTGAAAATGTTATCCTTGAAAGGCTTATTCTTGTTTCTGAGTTCAATGAAATTGTCATTTGATGGTTTCCTGCAAAGAATGTGGTTATGTTAAGAACTTTTCATGTCATTTCAAATTTTCATAGGCAATGCAATGTCAAATGTGAGCTTGTGATCATTAAATTGAGCTATATATATTGGATATTTAAGATGTGATCGAAATTAACTTTTTCTTACTGTAAGAACACGAAAACTCGAATTTTGATTAGTGTATTTTGAAGTTTCTTAAAATATGATATTTTTGACAGGCTTCTAGTTTATGAGTTCATGAAAAATGGATCCTTGGACAAATGGATTTTCCCTTCGCATGGTTGCCGAGACAGACTTCTAGATTGGTCAACTCGCTTCCACATAGCTATTGGTACTGCACAAGGGATTGCCTATTTTCATGAGCAATGCCGGGACAGAATCATACACTGCGACATCAAGCCGGAAAATATTCTGTTGGACGAGAACTTCTGTCCAAAAGTATCGGATTTTGGACTAGCTAAGTTGATGGGAAGAGAACACTCACATGTTGTCACTATGATCAGAGGAACCAGAGGTTACTTGGCTCCCGAGTGGGTTAGCAATCGTCCTATAACTGTAAAAGCCGATTGTTACAGTTACGGAATGCTTCTCTTAGAGATTGTTGGTGGCCGGAGAAACCTTGACATGTCATTTGATGCAGAGGACTTCTTCTTTCCCGGATGGGCTTTTAAGGTACTTTCGAAGCCATAGCTTAATTTTTGAAATTGAATGCTTTGAACATATGAGTTACGATTTTGCAGGAGTTGACAAATGGGACACCGATAAAAGTTGCTGACAGACGATTAGGAGGAGCAGTTGAAGAAGAAGAGCTGGTGAGAGCTTTGAAAACCGCGCTTTGGTGCATCCAAGATGAGGTTTACATGAGGCCTTCAATGGGGGATGTGGTGAAGATGTTGGAAGGATCAGTTGACATCAATGAACCACCAATGCCACAGACAGTTTTGGAACTAATTGAAGAGGGCTTGGATCATGTATACATAGCCATGAAAAGAGAGTTGAATCAGTCCAGCTCTTTCACCATCAATACTCATCCCTCGTCTCGCGCTACATGTAGCTATTCCACAATGTCACCTAGATGATCAAACTTCATAGTAACATGGGGATACAATTTTGTTGGAATTTTGTAATTGTGGCGATTTATATATTATTTTGGTGCTGCAAACTAAGAAATGGTCAATGCTGTTGTGACCATTTATATATTATTTTCATCAAAAGTATTAAACATTTTTCAGGACTTTTTTTGGGGGGATTTTCTGTTCTTGTACAAGTCCTCGGCTAACTGCCTAAAAGTGGAAGTGATGAGAACCAGTGTTAACACTTAGAATAGTTATGCCTCTAGCAACTATGTGTGCAATGCATTGGTGCAATGGAAAGGACGAGAGTTTGAGTATAAAAATACTCTGGTACTTGTTAGAAGCATTGATCTTTCTAGCAATAAAAATCTCCAAGTCTTGCAGAGCTTGTTTCTTTGAACTTATCATGAGAAATAATGTGACAGGAAATATTATTCAACAAATTGGTCAATTGAAAATTTTAGATGCTCTCGACTTGTCAAGAAACCATCTTGCTGGTGGAATTCCTATGGGCCTTGCTCGGTTAAATTATATCAGTGTCTTGGACTTGTCAAGTAATGACTTGTCTGGTAAAATTCCGTCAAGTACTCAACTGCAGAGTTTTGATGCCTCAGCATTTGCAGGGAATCCCAAACGTTGTGGGTTTCCACTTCCAAATAAGTGCCTAGGAGACGAGACAAATCTGGATCCTTCCATTACCAATTGCTGCAAGGACGATAGCATTGAAGACAATTTTATGACGCGAGAATTTTATATCAGCATGGTGGTGGATTTGGTGGAGTTCTTGCCACTTTGCTTCTTAAACGCTCATGGGAATATGCCTATTTCAAGTTCTTGAACATAAAAGATTGGCTCTGTGTGAATACAGTAGTGAATATAGCCAGATTACAAAGAAGGCTCCAAAGCTGATTGGTAAGTATATTTTTTATTTTCCTTATTTTATTAATTTTTAGTTGGTTTTACAGAAATGTCAAGGGAACTCTTTTAGATTTTACTTTGGATCAGAAAGTGCATAATTTGGTCAAGTTGTGCTTTTCTTTAGTTGTTTAATATTCTTTTGTATAAAAATACTCACACCATTTGAATTCATTTTCGTATTGGTGTAACATTCAGTACTTAAAAGTTTGCTCTATATCACTTCAAGCCTACTAGCGGCATGCCACTCCCCCGAATACACACAAAAGTTCCCTGTTTTTTAATGAAGTAATAGGCTAATCAATTTTGCTTAAACTGATTGCTAACATTGTTCTACATGTTCTTTTTTTTCTTTATCTTCTTTTTGGAAGCAGCTAAACCATAGGCATGATCTATTGTTCCTCTCAAGTCTTAACCACCAGTTCCTACCAAACAAAGTGGATTTCGAATACCTGTTGCATGTAGCTTCTCTCTTTAGAGTACAATTTTATAGAAGCTCGCGATGTGTAATCTGTTATGGAACTAATTAGTTCGCCTTAAAGGAATGTATGCCATGTTTTATTTTGGACTGTTTGTATGGTGACCAGTAGTACTGTTGTAGCATGCCGGCAATAAAATATACGGATCTTACATAGTTTTACTGCCAATGTGCTGGTAATTTCTTATATACTACATTAAGTGATGAATTATTGACCATGATTATGCACAAGGCCGATTTCCCATATTGTTAAGTTGTTTAATATTCCAAAGGTTAATCAAAACTCACACAAGCATACATTCTTTTTACTAGGGTTTGAACAAGTATATAATTAAAAACTAAAAACAAAAAGTATTTCTACAGTCCACCTGATAAAAGGACAATAAAACCAAAATTATCAACCAAGAAAATGTCATTGATTGTGAAGACCTTAACTTCAGATTGTTCCTACCTTAAATTTGGTGGAAATATAATCCAGAAGACTACGAAATGATTGAAGAGATATATTATTAATGCTAAAATATAATAGGTTTAAGTCATACATTGAAGCTGGAAACCAAATGTTTACACATAATTGCATAGGCACCAATGAAAGTTTCCAATGGAGCTGTTGAAGAAGAAGAGTTCACGAGTGCCCTGCAGACTGCCTTTGGTGAAGATCTTCGAAGGATCGGTTGATGTCAATGTACCAATAACGCCCCATCTGGCTTTGGAATTGTTCGAGGAAAGATCATGTATTCAAAGCTATGGGAGAGTTTAATCCATTCAGGTATTTCACAATCAATAGTCATATACAGTATCTCATGCTACCTGTAGTTATTTGACAATCTCAACTAGAGAATTAAGGTAACATGGAATAAAATTTTGCTGGGATTTTGTAATCATAATTTTTTGATGCTGAAAATTACTGCCTTAAGAATTGGTCAATGTTGTTCTAACCATATATATATATATATATATATATATATATATATATATATCCTGATTTCATCAAACCTTCTTAGCAACTGATGTATTGCAGTTCCAAGGATGGGATAGAAGGTGGAAAAAACCAACATGCAGAAGATTGTATACACTAAATATAATGAGATTTCTGTAAATAGGCTAGGTACATAATTGATAGGAAGTGAAGAACCCCACTGTTTCCAATCATCTTCAAGATTTCTCCAATTTACAGCATCAATTAAGTGGTGTTATCAATTACCTAATGACAAAACATGACTTCTATATACACACACACACACAAACACGCACACACATAAATATGTCCATGTAAGGCATGAACAATTTATGCTTCCCATCAATATGGAGCTTGACAAGTTAAGCATCAATTATTTACAGGATCAATTTTTTTTTTTTTGAACTTTAAGCCCAGTTTTTATTAATTTACCTTTCCAATATAAATTTACTTTTTTTTTTTTTTTTTAACCTTTTCTATTCTATTCTAATCATTTCTATTTTTATATGTAGTCGGAGACAAGTTTTTTAGTTTTTTCAAAGTAGAAACAATACTAGTGTAACTTTTTAAAGTTGCATGAATGATTACGGATCAATATTATTATTAATAAAATTTGTTAAAATAAATTCAGTTATGTATTTATTTTATTTTCATTTTAATCCAGTTTCATTATTATTATTATTATTATGAAGTTCTAGTTCAGTTTAGCTTTGAAAGGTTAATTTATAATTTTATTTTAAATTATATATATATTTTTAAATTTCAAATTAGATTATATTTTTATTTTTATCTTGCCCCATTATACTAATGTGTGTGTGTGTGTGTGTATATATAGCTTTATGTTCATACAAATCCTAAAGTTAGCATAGACTTTATTATTAAAATTTAAAACAAAAACAAAAACAAAATCACAATGTTGGTACATGGATATGGTGATCATTTATTTATTTATTTATTATTATTATTATTGTAATAAAGAATCAACTCAAATGTTAATTATGGACTTTTGAATGATTTACAAATCCCGAATATTGCATGTGCAATCATTCACAAACCATACATATCATTTAACCTTCATTATTTTTATATCTTGTAAAAATCGAACCCAAAACTTTTTTTTTTTGGTTACAACATGGACTATTTTAAGAGGTATTTTTTGACAATCAATAAAGAGTAGAATTACCCTATATAAATCATAATTAAGTGGAACATTGAAGACATTGTAATGTCTGTGTATATACGTACATATGTGGATATAATTGTGTGTGTGTGGTGTAATTAAAAAAAAAAAAATAGAAAAAGAAAAAATACAGTGGGACCCACACCCCATTTAAGTGGATTGTGAGACCACATTTGGCCTCTGCTTCGTCACTCTCTCTGCCCTCTCTGTCTGCTCTCGGCTTCTCTTTCCATTTTTTTTTTCTTTTTTTTCCCTTCAAGCTTTCATTACTGATTTCTCCATAAAGGGTACCCGTTCTTTGGCATATCAATGTTTTTTAAATATTTTATTGTCCTGTATGAACGGCCGTTGTTCCCTTTTATAACTACTACTATGTTGGGTTTTGCAGACAATAGACCTGACAAAAGGATTGAAGAGTTGGGGATCAAAATGGTTAGACACTGTGGAGGTCTACCATTAGCTGTTGTTGTGCTTGGAGGTATTTTGGTAACCAAACATACAGAGGAGGAGTGGGAGAAGGTGCATAGGAATATTAATTCACACATAAGTAAGGGCACAAGTACTGTGCGGCAAGAAGACGGAGGAAAATATTATGAAAAGTATTTTCCGATTTTTAAGAGGTATTTTTTTGACAATCAATAAAGAATAGAATTACCCTATATAAATCATAATTAAGTGGAACATTGAAGACATTGTAATCTCTGTGTATATATGTACATGTGTGTATATAATTGTGTGTGTGTGTCTGGTGTAATTTAAAAAAAATAAAAATATATATATATAAAAAAGGAAGTAAAAGAAAAAAGTGGGACCCACACCCCATTTTAGTGGATTGTGAGACCACATTTGGTCTCTGCTTCCTCACTCTCTCTGCCGTCTCTGTCTGTTCTCGGCTTCTCTTTCTGTTTTTTTTTTCTTTTTTTTTCACTTCAAGCTTTCATTTCTGATTTTTCCCTCATCTCTTAATGTTTTTAAGTGTCATTTGAGGCAAAACGAACCCCACGACGAGCTCTACGCGGTTGTACCAACAATTTCAGTTTTGGTGCTCATTTGTGCATTCGAGTTTAGAGACCTACTTTCAAGGGTTTTGTTCAATTTAGAGGTAGGGACTCTTAATCCATGTTTTTCTTGCTCCATTGTAAATTATATCTCTCTTGTTGTGACAAGCATGTTTAATTTGGAAGTTAATTGTTTCAATGATTATATAAAATGATGTTTAGGAAAATTCATGATTATGAATATGAGTAGAAAAGCATGCTTAGAGATTATCTTGTTGTATTTAATGTGTTGATAATTCATTTGGAGATGTTGAACATGATGTATGCTTAATTTTGTGGTGTAAAATTATGTGTTGTCTTGTTATGTTTAATTTGTTGATAATTCATTTCAAGATGTTAAATATGATGTATGCTTAATTGTGTGGTGCTAAATGTCATAATATTGAAAGCATGGGACATATATACATGTACATACCATTGGGTTTGCATGAAATGGAAGAATTTGCTTGAAATAAAAAGGAAAATTTTGGGAAAAGAGTTTTTACGAAATGGTTTTATGAAAACTCGGTAGCCGCGGGGGTACCAAAGGGCCGAAATGTTAATATAGCCTAGAGGGGATTAGGGAATCGCCCTAGCGTGGTTGAGCTAGCTGGGTCCATAATGACGCCGCGGGGGTACCAAGGGTTAGGGACACTAGCCAATAATCCTCTCGTGCCACTGCGGGGTCACTAAAGGGTGGGTTGTATTAACAGTTTGAAAGTGATGGTTTTGAAATGTGAAAATAGGGAGCGATATCGGCATGCATTTGCATTCCATGGCATTGCATTGTTTCCAATTGAGTTTGGTTAAAATGTTGTATTATCCTGACATTGTATGATCCCCATTCCTTTTAATCTATTCTTTGTATGGATTCATAAGGACACAAGATGCGTGTCTTAAGTGCTACCTATTGAGCTTTATGTTCACCCTATTATTTAATAATTTTTTCAGGAAACGGGAAAGAAGTGGTGGATGACTTTCCACCACAGGCCTAATTTAGATTAGAAGACTTCTTTTTGCTATTTTTGTATTAAGTCCCATATTTTTGTAAAATCTTAGTTTGTTATATTTGGTATAGAGATTTGTGAACTCTTGTTATTGTAACTATATGTTGGGACTATAATTATGATAATTTGGATTAAACGGTATGTAAATGTTCCACCATGAGATGAGCTATGTCGAGGTATAATGAACAGATGGATAAGATGTTAGAGTATGTTAATTGTATTATGTGTTAGGATAGGTTGGAGGTGTTTTGAAAGGCCAGGGC